ACTCAAAGCTGCACTTATGAAGATTTAAGTATGTGGGTTCTTTAATAGTCAAAGATCAATAATGAATTCTTAATGACCGACATGCAATATTCAGGTGGCAATAAGGACAGACCAATGGAAATAAGGTTGTCAATGATTGTGTTAAAGAATTTCAACTTAAAGCTATGCCTATTGTAGATTCTTTTTATAGATTAGATAATATTCATAAGATTGGTTATGGGTTTTTAGTGATCTGGTTAAATTGAATATGAGTTATTTTAAATAGCATAGAAGGCAATAGAAGGATGGACCATTGGATAAGTTAAGGTTATTAATGATTGCATCAAATAATTCAACTTAAAATCTGCACTTATAAAGATGTAATTGGATAGGTTTATTTAATAGATTAGGTAATGCTTATAAGATTGGGAATAGATTTTTAGAGACCTGGTTTGTTTGAATACGAATTATTTCAGGTGAATATATATTTATCATTTGCAAAACATATGGCTCTTGGAAGACAATGCAAAGATAGCAAGTTAAAATACGAATGCATGATTGTGTTAAAAAGCTTCATTTCTTTCAATAGGTTAGAAATGCTGGCTAGATAGAATACAAATTATTTCAGATAAGTTTATAGTTATTATTTTGATCTCTATATAGAATGGCTTAATGGTAATCAGAAAGCGATTATATATAGGAATTATTTGAATATATCTTAAGCTCTATTGGCTGAGATTAATCACTAATTATGTACTATTATTGTTTTAAAATATAGCATCTTGTTAGGGCTAGTAGTGGTTAATGCTTCATAATTGCAGATTAAAGAAAAATACATTTGTAGAATGTATACTTATTTATGAAGAGTAGCTATATATAGTGTAAATTATATTTGATTGATTAAATTGTGTATTTGGATGTATGTTATTTAATAAATAGTTTATATAATTTTGCAAAATAAATGCAGTTATTATATTTTAACCAATCAAATTTAAACAAAGTTACGTGAAAATTGGGGTGGCAAAATTTTGATACCACCCGAGATAGCACATAGATAACTCCTTTATAATAATAATAATTTTAAATAATTTAGTTCCTATGTGAGTCTGCTCAAAATCCAATTACCAAAGAGAAATGGAGACAATGTAAAAAAAATAAAAGCAAAAATTGGAAAGATTTTCTTAACTTGTTGTACAATACATATTGGTCCTATCAAGTAAGTATTTAATTAATTCTTAGTTTTATGTTTACATATTTATTTATTTTTATAAA